GTCTATGCTGTATTTTGATTCTGATGTATTGTCGCCAAATATATTAGTTGGCGCCAGTCTTAAAAATTGGTAAGTATAACATAAATTATAAATTGTTTAGGTTATTCTGTATAGTGACGTAAATATATTCTGTGTCCTTCAAGAAGCTTCATAAACTTAATTATTTATTCTTAATTTTGTCCTATTTTCATATAAAAGTTAAAATTTTTCACAAAATTTCATTCTTAATAGTGTGATTAAATTCGTTTAGTACATGCAACTGTAATTAAATACTAGTGTTTTTGATTTTAATGTTAAACTTCATACATGCTTTTGTTAAATTTGAAGGTGCATTTTGAAGAAAACCAGTTTGAATGTTCTAGGAAAGATGGGTTTTTTAAAAAACTAAAGCCTTGTTTAATGTGCCTAATCCAACACAACTGTTGACCCCACAGCATGTAAAAGGCATTGGGTTTACCAAACTACCATTCAATGATATCCAGTTTTTAAAATGTATGTTTTTTTAAGTTTTATAGTTTTCATAAAAATTGTTTCATATTAAAAATGGACCAATTTGTTTTATAAATAAATCAAAATATTGAAATTCAGGCATTATATGATTTAAGCTTTAATTTCAGTGCTTAAGAATAGATTAAAAATTGAAATTTTTAATAGATAATAATTCATAATACTGTATAAATTTTGCTGTTATATATATATAATTAAATGTGTATTTTATTATAATAATCATATTTAAAATGAGGCATAAAAGCAACCTTAATTTGATATAGTTTTTGATTAAAATTACTGATTTCAAGGCCTATCAGACACAGGTCTCATTTCTTCAGATTTGCCCCTAAAAAAGAGAAACCTGTATTTGATTGCCTTCAAAGGCTACAGAGGTTTGTTCAAAATCAGGATTAAACTAAAATAACTTTTTTGCTTAATTTTAAATTTTACATATATATAGGAATATGCATTAAGTAAGCAAAAGAACAGTATTATTGAAAGTAATAATTTTGAGTAATATAATAATATGGTAATGTATGTTTTAATGTCCTATATGTCTTGTCTAAGTCCTCGCTTTCAGAAGTGGGGCTTCACATTTAAATAATGTAAAGTCCTTCACCTATTATAAATTTCAGATTTTACATAGAAATATCATACAAAGTAAATTTGCAGTACTCAATTACATTATTGTTTCCATCATTATTGGATTAATTTGAAGTTAGTCATTAAGGTTAAGTATTTATAAAATGTTTGTATTTTGTTCACAAAAACTTCCATCATGTAGCAGTTACTTTTATGTTATGGAAGATATCAAGCTCTGCTAAATCAAATTTACTTTGTGTGGACCTTAAATCTTAAGCACCAATCGTAAATTTGTTTTGGCATATTTTTAAGAATTTGAATGAAAAATTTATTGCTACTGTGAAAGAATGATCAACTGATGTTTACCTTACTAATCAATGTCTTACAGTGTTGTAATGATTCGCAGGATTTTTCATAATGTGATGTTGCATATACGTTTTGATCTTATCATCAAATAAATATAAAGAATGTATTCCTAATCAGATATTTCTTCTTACGTAAGATTATTATCTATCATGATGTGATGCTTAGGATTTGTGTTTTAGAAGCCAAAACACTATTTTTTGAGATGCTAAAAAAAAGCAATGTATTTTATTTATTTACTTACTGCTTTAAAACAGGTTTTGAATTAAGGCTTTCCCCTTCCTTACAGTATGCACATAAAACTCACTTAAGCTATATTTTTAACATATTAATGAGATATATGTAAATAAAATATGTCTCTTAGGGTAGCTCCTTTAATAGGGGGAAAACTGAACTAAAATGGTATACCTTAAAAACATTTTATTGAAAACAAAAATACTATCATAACAGTGTCGGCTAAGATTTATTCAGATGGTTTTTTTGCATTTATTCTGGCATTTCCCCATAAATTCATATAAATAAAATTTCAGTTAAAGTAGGATAGCATTATATCATTCTATACAAAGCTGTTGACTTTATGTATATTCTATATAAAGGTGTTGACTTTAATGGAAAAAAAATCCAGTTACTGTGTTTAATAAAATTTGATTATAATGGAATGACTTGCACTGTGTTAGAAAAAAAAGAGTGAAAAATAACAATTTTTGTTTTATTTTCACTATAAGTACAAGTATTTGCATAAGTTTGTTATCAAAAGATGTAGATTTAAAGCTAAATAATACTTTTGTTTTTACTTATGCAAAATTAATTAATAAGGATATTAACTAATTATAGAATTATTGGTACTCTTCTGTTATCGGGACCGGATTCAGAAATCTCTATATGGATGTATATTGAATGTATGTATATATGAACCATGCATATGTATGTGTGTATACATACATTTTTGATTTCCATCCCGATAACAGAAGAGTACTGAATTATCATTAAATATTCAGATATGTGTAATAATATATTAACAACATTGTTTTCACGAGAAAATAGTAAAATTAAATTAATTTTAATAATTTTCTTGTGCCATTGCTTCAAGGAATGAAATTTGAATGTAACAAATATTCACTATTTCTATAAAGCAAATATAAATTCTCTACTCATATAAAGCAAATATAAAATTAAAATTTTAAATTTTATGTATGTTTTTTCACTTGTTTAATTCATAAATTTACCAGTTTTTCTATGTACTGTATAAAGTATTTTCTCAATAGCAAATGTATCGGTAAATAGTGTCTAAATTTTGTGTGGAAAGGTATTCTTTTTATTTTTTATTTATTTATTTATGTGTGTATTTATTAATTTTAAAATTTCCTTTTTAGCTAAATAAGAACAAAAATAGTATTTTTGTGATATGGAATTTTTTACATAGCTAAATTTATATAAAAAAATATATTTTTAAAATATAGATTCCCACAGCCATTAGAGCATTGAAATAGTTTTTTATAGCATTCTGCTAAAACATCAAAATTTAAAGGTGTATATCTCAAATCAGTATTTTAAAATCATAAAGCTTTTAGCTACCTTTTTCTGGATATGCACACAAAATAACATTTTTAACCAAATTGTTGCAATAATAGACATTCGATTCCATGTGAGCAAACTTCAAACTGCATATTAAAAATGATAAACAAGACGTAGATTAAAAATGAAAAACAAGAATTATTATGCAGACAAGCTATTAAATTTTTCAGAAGTTTAAAATGCGAACTTGCTAGATATATTAAAGCATCAGCATGTATTTATCCACTTATCATATAAAATTTGCTTACGATTTTAGAAAAGTAACTTTTGATTCAGAAAAGCTTTAGAAACTTAAAAATTACTGAAGTTTTCTTCATACAAATTTGTAGCCACAGCTTTAATGTTCTCTAAATAATTTAACATGTAATGTAAATAAAAGTAATATGCTTAACTCCATCAGTACTGAAATGGTTATAGTTAAGATATTAAGAATTATCATACAAGTACTGTATTGAAAGGCTTATAATTTTTATATAATACATGAAACTACCTTGAATTATAAAAGAAAAGTAGTTACATAAATATGAAAACGTGATTTCAAACCCATTATAACCTCATGGAAATTAAGAATACAGCTGCGGGAAATCTCTTGTCAAAAAAGTACATTTTGAGTTGTCTAACATTATGCATGTATGTAAAAGTATAAAACTGAAAATTCAGAAGTAAGTTGACAAAAAAGTGTTTGTAACTTATATATGAATTTGAAGTATATGTGAAAATGTTTTAAAAAAACGCATCATGAATCATATGAGAAATTCGTCATTTTAAAAAACTACGAGAGAGAAGTCACACATCTCTATATGAGTGCGAAAAATCGGAACTTAAGATTCTCTAAAAGGTCCTCTAAAATGTTAAATAATTAAAGTTTTAACTAATACGGCTAAAGAGCCAAAGATTGGCCCCCAACCGAAATTGCAACCCTAAAGGGTCGCAAAAACATGGCTGACGACTCACACATATCAGTCGTGACGTCACGCATCGTGACGTATCATGGCTTCATTTTCATTGCATGGGAACATACTAGTACGGGGAAGGCTTACTCCATCTATTCTAACCTCCTTGATCGCGGCAGAGAACATGACCGACTTTTAGCGCATGCGCAGAACCTTAAAATTGTTGCTCTACGAGAAAGTCGGCCGAGAAAATCGTTTCGTGTAGACGGGAAAATGTACATATTAGAGCCAAAGACAAGTTTAAATCAAAATTGGAGTGGGGAATTAATGTTCAGGCAAAATATGGCAAAACTGTACGATACATGAAGTGCAGCCGCTACATTCATTCAAATTTTTGTGCAATTATAATCTGTGATCTTTTTTTTTTTTTTTAATCTTGTTTCGATCTGTAAAATTAAAAATAATTATATAAAAGCAATGAAACATAAGTATAATAAATAATATTTTTTCAAAAATTTTCTTGGCATTCTTAGTCTAATTGTTATCTTTAAGCTATTTGGGCGATATTATTTGTATTATGCGTATGTTATATGGTGTATATTATAGATACAAATGCAAGAGGGTCGGTGAAGAAAACCATTCTTTTAAAAGCGATCAAGGAAAAAAAGGGGGGACGCTGTAGACAAAATTCTTGAAGCTACAATCAGATGTTTGAGTTAAGATCTTTTAGGATAAAAATTCAATTCAAAAATTGGGACTATGGTTCTGAAATTTGCGAAAATTTTTCTTACATCTTTCTCTTGGATTGCTTACGAAAGTATTGTTATTGACAATCATTAACCCTCTGATCTAACACTGCAGGTTACATTATAATATGAGATAACAAAATACAAAATATTATAAATAAAATAATGTTTCTGTAAACATTTTAAATTTCACTAATTTCATTTTTAAATAAGAATCATAAATGATATTTTATATTTGTATTTCAAAATTAACTTAAGTTTTGTTTAAATGATACCATATCATTTTGTTAAAATATTAAAAATTAAAATTATTTTTTTAACCTTCTAACGGCCGCAGAGCAAAACGCGATTTTTCGCATGTTGTATTTGAAAATAAGCTATCGTCGTCCTTCGTGTTCCTTGTATTCTTAACGTGGAAGGAGTGGTAATTGCATTCAGCTGCTTATTTCTGATTAAGGATTACAGTTAGTCATGGCTGCTGGATGTTGTGGTGCTAAGAAACAGAAACTTAACAATAATTCCAGTCCTTGCTGCAACGGCAATGGAACTATCATTCATCATCACAATTATCAGCAAAATATATACAAGCATGGTGTAGTTGTTTGTGTAGAGATGTGTTTCTTTTGTTTTGATGTCCTTTATTGTCATTTAAATCAATTTGATCCACCCAAAGCGCCTAATTTTCCGAACGATAGTTAGTAAGTACTTCTATTAATGTGTTTCCCCAGTATGTATTACATTGCGAGTTTTTTTTGTAATGTAATTGTTTTTTTCCTTGTGAGTTTATGATAATTAGTTTCTGTATGATTATAAGGTATTATTCAGTTATCTAATTAATAAAATAATAAATGGTTGCCTACTACATAAATTCATGTATAGTAGTTAATGCCATTGATGTTACATCACTGAAACATCATATTTTTAACATTATTTGTATTTTTGTTAGTTGAACGATACTACAGAAAAGTAAAATTGATCATATGATCTGTATTATTATTTGAAATATAGTGCTTATGTGCACAGGAAACAATTAAGACAACTCTGTATGGCTGCCTAGAATACTAATGTGGAGCTGTGGTTGTGTTCCTGCTGCATTTACCACTAGCTAGCATACGATAATCATAAAACAGTTTGAAGCATAATTTCAAGCAGCTGTAAGTTTTTTCCTTCTCTTTTTATTCTCATTATCAATTATTGTACCTTTGGCTTTCATCTGAAGAGCAAAATAAGATGAGTTTGCTTAGTGGCCATTCTTAATGCAGAGGTTTGACGATTTTTTTTTTAAATTTCGAATTAAAAAAAATATTAATAGCTGATATTTACCCATAATGTGAAAAGATTGTACTTGATATTGGAGATTATTTAAATGCAATAAAATTTGCTGTATAGAATAACTAATATTAGTTTTTGTAAAGTAAATTTATTAATTTTGATTAACCTTTTGAAGACGGGATGGCCATTATACTGGCCATAGAGTCCTCTCTTTGAAAAGACGGGGTTGTCCAATTTAGTGGCCATGTCTTTTCCCCCATTTTCCAGGCTGAAAAGTGGGGTGAAATGTCAAATTTGACGTCCCTAGGGTTTTAACCACCTATCTCTTTTAAAGGTCTTCCTTTTACGACATAGATGCACCCCTCTGAGATTCCATTAAACTAGACACAAGAATCTTTGTTGTAAATAGGTGATTTCTTAAAGGGAGGAAAGATTCGGTTCAAGATTCCCTTCCTTTGGTAGCTTTTACTGCTACCAAAGCCCCGGCCTCAAAAGGTTAAGGAAAATTATTTTTTTGTATTCTTTTATAATTTTTAAATGTAGCTGCTAAAGTAATATGCATAATAATTAAGCATATATTGTTTCTTAATTTCGATTTTAATACCTGATAGAGTTGAAAAGCAAAAATATTTGTTTATTGTAAAATTAAGGTTGTAACTAGTGAATGCATTTAAAATTGCTAAAATAGATATGAGAAGGTTTTTTTTAAAATGAGATTGTTTATCATTCTTGGTTAAAATAACTGCCTGTATTGAATTTAATTTTAAAATTGGCTTTATATTTTGTTATAAATAACCTTTTAAATTATTTACATTGAAAAAAAATTAATTAAAGTTTATTTACTTAAAGCATAAAACTAAAATAAAATAAGCATTATTTTTTTCCGTGTTTCTTAAATGCTTTGGCAGGGGTTCTCAACCAGGGAAAAAATTGGTCAGTATGATTTTACCTGCTTCCTACTGTGCCTTAAAAAGTTATCTGAATCTAAATAAATGTACATTTATTTTTCGAGTTTTGGAAAGGTTGGGGAATGATTTTCTAACACGGCTGAAAGGGATACATGGGGCAAAAACGGTTGAGAATCACTGTGCTACGAGATAAAAAGGATAATTATTTTAGGAGAAAAGTAGTACTTTTTTTACACATGTAAGTAAATATTAGATTTCACATTATTTTACTCATATTTGTAATGTATTGAAGTGTTTGGTTTAATCCTAGTATCCGGTGCACACAGGATTTGGCGACTTTTATGATGAGCAGTAAAAACGGAACATATACGATGAGTAGTAAACGTGTCATTCAAAGAATATATATAGTATACATATTATATACTATAAAATGTTGTATGAACTTAAATCCATTTAGTGCGAATACAAGTTATTATTACTTGCGCAATTGCTGCAAAGTTAGTTAATAATAATTTATTTCCTATAGTATATACATAGACGTTCTTTGGGTCATTTTTGGTGTTAGCGATAATTTTCAAAATCGCGCCAAGGCTGCACCGTATACTAGGATTTTACCAAGTGTTTTAAAGTATGTGTTTGAAGGATATATTTAGTTCCCCATATTTAGTTATTAATATTGGGTAACTTCCTTTTTAGAAAGTCTTATGGAGATACCCTGTCTAAAGTTGATAATTCTAAAATGCCTTATACTCGTGAATAAATGAGTGACATGTTTGAATGTTAATTTTTTGAGCATATTAATTGGTTAAAATACTTTGAGCAAATTAATTGGTTAATTTGAATAAATACAGTATCATAAGTATAGTTAGCCTAAATTTTGACTTCAAAAAGCATAGTTCAAAAATATTAATGTAACCTTTCATCTCTAAACTGCATAAAAATTGTAAGCTTGTTAATTAGTTAACAAGATTATGTTGAAAAATCTTGAATATGCACATCTTAAACTTACACGCTTTGTTGTAACTATTTTCTGTTATGTCCATTTAAACTAGAAATAGAATAAAATGTATATTGCTGATGTAAATTATAATGCAATTAATTTTATATATAAATAAAAATTAATATTCTACAGCTATAGTATTACAGTAGAAACTTATAATGTTGTTACTGTTATACAATCTAGATATTAGAAAATTTTGAGTAAAATTTACTCGTAGTAATGCTGAAGCTATTAATATAAGCAATTTAATTATCTAGATAAATTAACTGATAAAGAAATTAAAATCTTTTGTGAGATTATTTCTTGTTCAGTTTAAAGCAAGGATTCTCAAACTTTTTCAGATTTTGTATCACACAAATATGAAACAAAAATATATGTACCACCATAAAAGCATTTCGCCATTAAAAATCAATGCATCCTAAATGGAGTGTATATAATCAAAGAATAAAACCCTTTAAATTTTTTATTTAATTATATTCATAAATGAAACTTTTACATAACAATAAAATATAAATAAGTGTACCCGAGTGCTGCTACGAATCTTGGAAATTGTATGTAGCTCTTGGTAAAGTCATCATTTCAACATTAAAGCTAGAGTCGTAAAAGTCAAAAACTTAAAAATATATGTGTTTCTGAATAATAAAGAAATGTTAAAAGGGGCACAATTGAATTGATAAAGAAATGTTAAAAGAAGCACAATTTTACATTAATTTTGAACATTTATTTCATTTTTTTTTCTGTAAAAATTGCAACACTAAAAATATTGTAATGTACTACCAGTGGTACATGTATCACAGTTTGAGAACCGGTGGTTTAAAGTATGTATTGTAAAATGTTCCAAGACTGTGTATAAAATGTACTTTCTTAATAATTGAAGAAATATCATTAAAGAGATCTCTGCGGGATTCATAGCTTTTTAAATGGTTGTATCCAAAGATGGAGAAATCTTTAAATCGTAATATTGAAGAGACTTTCCCACCGAGTAGAGTGGGCTGAAGAAAGATATATTTTATGTCATCTGACTATTCAGTATATTTTTTAAATGTTAAGTAACTAATACATAATTATTACTAAAGTTAGCAATATTTTAATAGTTATTTATATTTATCTTGGCAGTGATGATTTTTTTCCCTAATATTCTTATGCAATCTTATTTAAAAATAAGTTTTCAGTAATTTTTTAAAATTTCCTTTGTTTTTAAATTACTATATGTTTTTTTCTCCTTTCTGAATTTGTCCTTTCATTTAAGTGATAAATATTCATTTCGTAACAAGATTCAGATTTGTTCTGAGGTCATGTCACTTACGAGGCAGAGTTCATAATTTTAGTAAACTTAGGCACTTAGTAGTAAAATCTTCATTTAGGTAAATGACCTGGTTTAAGAGGGTAAGGGAATCAAACCAAAAAAGCAGACACGGTTGAGTATTATTTATTTGTTTTTGTATTGGTACCTGTGAGTGAGTAAGTTTCCTGCTTGGGGGTTTCATATATGCCATGTTCGATTATTAAACTTCCAGCACGTGCATATGCGCAAAATTCATGACAAATTCAGTTTTTAATGCTTATTTTTCGCATATCAAAGCTGAGACATCTGAAGGTTTCTTTTCCTCCTTTCTATCCTTCCCCACATCATGGAATATGCCAACAGGAAATAATTTGACTTTTTTTTTAACTGGGCTTTTGTGCTACATGGCAGCTTTTTCATAAAAGTTAAAAATTCGGAAAATATTATTTTTCTCAAATATTTTGTAATTTTGTGTTATTATTGCCGTCTATTATTTTAATTTAAATACATTTGGCTCTGTAAATTTTATATTGGTTTTCATGGCAAAAAAATATGTGCAACCAGCTGATTTTGCTTAGATTCTTCAAGAATTATCTGATGAAGAAAAGGAAGACAAGGAAACCTTTGGATGGGAGAACAATAGTGATTTCCATTCCTTATTTTCTTTTATTTCTATTTTTTAGAAATAAATAAAAACATTAAAGTTAGTTTAAAGTGCTTTTTTGTAAGAAGTAAATTTCTTTGCAGAAGTAAGTAATGCTAAACTTACATTTATTTCTACCAACTTGTTTTCCTTTTTTATTGTCTATACTTGTCTTTGATGAATATTAAAATTAGCTTCAATTTTAAAATATTATTAAATAATAAATTAAAAATTTTCTCTAAGGAAATGCATCATTGCATTTCCATGTCACTAACATAAGAACTTAAAAATAATTTACTTATATTTGAAAGTGATATCATTTGTATTTTGTAATAATAAGATTAATATTTTATTTCTTAACAAATTTATTATCAATATTCACATATATATTATTCTGTCATTTTTCGTACCCAACGGTAAAATAACAGATGTCGTAAAAAATACGACGCTTGCGTGCTCATGTAAAATTTACAAGCGCGCCTGCTGGAAGGATAATATGAGGCACTTTTCATTTGGAAAGGATTTCTAAAGAGGCATCCTTTCTAAGGCTTCTGTAAATAAGAGGGGGGGGGAATCAAAATATCAAATGAGCTGCAGCATTTTTAGAAGTTTTATTCATTTAGTTGGATAGTAATTAGTTAATCCATAGCTGTTTGTTTGTAAAAAGAAGTTCTTTATCACACATGTTGATGGAAGAAGGTTCATCTATTTTGTGCTTTTGATTGCAGCATACTTGGAACATTAGCAATTATGTTTTGGCTTTTAAACTAAAATGCTTTGTTTAGAAATGTAACTTTGAAATTGGCTTATTGATTTTCTGTTCTTGGAAAAAGTTGCTTGTTTGCTTTAGTATTCTGTTGCGATATCTGGTTAAGGCAAAAAAACTGTCAGGTGTCACACAGTCGTACTTATGTATAAAATACCAGCTCTCATACAATGACACATTTTTAAAAATCTTTTAAGTTACTAATCCATGCTGCAGAAGATTTTAAATTTATTTTTCAAAAAAAAAAAAAAAAAAAAAAAAAAAACAATAATACGTTTCTAGTTAAAACTAAGTGATCGAAGGCAAGTTTTTAATAAATATGTGCAGTTATACAGTTAGTGTAGAAAGAAATGGGACAGTTCTACATTTCCTGTTCTAGTCGCCAAATGGCAGAGTTAAAATTGCATTTTGTATGTCTCAAAAATGCTACTTAAAGTATATATTAGATTTATATGTAGCATTCTTTTAATACTGACATTTTTTATACTAAACAAATGGTTTTCTGAATTGACATGCAGATTTGTTTTTCCTTGGTTCTATTCTATGCCTAAAATTATGCATGAAAACCAGATTCTGTAATAATCATTCAAGCCATTCTGGCATATATTCATGTTTAAAACTTAGTGGCAGGGGGAACATTTGGAGAACTGATTATATTAACTTTGATTTTTTTAAAAATCTTTTCAGCGAGGGACTATATGTTAAAATCTTTTCAAATTTTAAATCTTGGTTTATTAATTCTGTATTTTAAGCTTACTCTATATAGAGATAAAACAGTAAAATTATTTTAAGTTACATATTTTAAAATAATCAAGGTGTTGAAAAAAATTAAGAAGATTTTTCATAAAAAGTTCTTTTAAAATTTCATTTATCAGCAAATAAAGCTGGCTATTTTAAATAGTTTTTAAGTCAATGTTTAAGAATTTGAATTTAGTATACAGTCAAAAATCTGTAATCCGGACGTCCATAATCAGGAATGATCTATAATCCGGACCTCAAAGCTACAAACTTTCTGCGCATGTGTAAACGCATGCTCATAATACCTTTATGCATGCACATAATACGTTTACGCATGCTCATTTAATGTATATCGGACGGTATAAGCTGAGCTAAAATGATCTAATTATCTATTTCAGTTAATGTTGCAGATTGCGTTGTCCTTAATCTTCTAATTCGATCCGGCTTATTATTTTTTGTAGACTGTTAGAGCAATTTTATAAAAGTAAGCTTGAACTTTCGATTATGTCAAAAAGAATTTCTGATTCTGGAGCTGCCAAAGGATCTATAAAATGAAAGCATGTTTCGATGTCCATCAAACAAAAAGTGGAATTGCTGCAAAAAATGGGAAAAGGCATATCCTTTGTTTCCCTAACCATTCCGAAATATGTTTATCAATTTCACGCTGCACCGGGGGGAGGGGACATCGCGGCATGCAATGAACTGGAAGTTGATCTGTCAACACTATCCTTATCTTCAGAGCAGATGTTTTTATTTTATTCGGCTTATAATTCCTTACTAAATGTAGTATTTCATCTCGATATACTCTGTCTTTGATATGATTTAAATCAAATTCCTCGCCATTATAAATATCACAAATACACATCAAATAGTTTTCTGGTTGCAATTTTCTAATTTCGACTATGCGTAATGTATGCTTTACGCATGCGCACATTGAAGAAATATTTACTAAAGTAAACTAATAAATATTAAGCTTTTTTTTTTATAAATTTTGATACTCTTTAGATCATAATTGCTCTTTAGGGTTTCATATTTTTAATTTTATAATTTCTGGATGCCGTCTTACCAGATTTAAATTGATGATCTATAATCCGGAATCGCCGAAGTCCCGACGAGTCCGGATTAAAGACTTTTTACTGTATGATTAAGACAGTGTTACTATGAGCAAAATAAATATCAAACCTGAAAAATAAACTTTAAAGAGGTCAAAATGTCTTATTACTTTAGTGATGCTGTCAAACTATAGAAAAAAAACTAGCACATCATTTAAGAAAAAGTATGTTCAAAATAACAGTTGTAAAGGTATATGTTTATTGTCCAAAGTAGTCAAATATACACCCTGAAAAGCCAAAACATGATGACCAATAATGCGTTGTGCTACCTTTGGCATGCAAACAGTTGCAACTCACCTTAGCATAGATACCGCAAATTCTTGGTAGATGACTGGAGACTGATTGTACCAAATGTCTATGCAGCATTCATATAAAGTCGAGGGTAGCTGTGAGCTGCTGTTCCTTATCATCCCAAATGCACTCTATCAGATTAAGATCCAGCGAGTTACGTAACCAGGGTATTAATTGGAGTTCATCCTTATGCTTCTCGAAACACTCCAACACAATTGAGCCTTGTGACATGAGGTGTTGTCCTACTGGAAGATTCCATTTCTGTGTTAGAAAGACATACATCATGTAAGGGTGCAACTGAGCCGCAGTTATGTTCAGATAGTCCACAAGCTTTTATGGTCTGCTCTACCACAACTAAGGGCTCCATTCCATCCATGAGAATGTTTCCCAAAGCATAATAATGTCACCATCAACCTGTGTGTGACCTGCTGTACCGGGGGGGGGGGGATGTTCGCCTGAAAAAAAGGCTGCATACTGTGGCACAACCATATACATGATGAGTGGGCAAATGTGATTCATCTGACCAAGCAACTGTCTTTCACTTATCCATAGTCCAGTCTTGATGCTCCTTGGGCCCCTTGTAGGAGGGGACGCCGCGGCGGGGGCAATGAATTGGAAGTTGATCTGTCAGCACTATCCTTATCTTCAGGGCAGAGATTTTTTTTTTATTTGGCTTATAATTCCTTACTAAATGCAGTATTTCATCTTGATGTACTCCGTTTTTGATATGATTTAAATCAAATTCCTCGCCATTATAATTCGCTTCCGATAGTGAAGAAAGTGACACAGAGGTTATTGAAAACGAAAAAATTTCGATTGACAATTAGTCGGGATTCTTCGACACAGCAATTCATAGGAACTTCAACAACGGAACTTTGTAACTGAAACAAGAAATTATGTCTGTTTATAGAATTAAAGAGAAAGTGTAAAATTATGTACACATAAAAACGAAGCAACTTAAACAACTTACATTGAAAGAAATGTTTAATAAAGTAAACAAATAAATATTAAGCTTTTTTTTGTAAATTTTGATACCCTTTAGATCATAATTGTTCTTTATTTCATAAATTAAGGTTTCATATTTTTAATTTTATAATCTCTGCATGCCACCTTAACAGATTTAAATTGATGATCTATAATCCGGAAAAATCGATAATCCGGAATGGCCGAAGTCCCAACGAGTCCGGATTAACGACTTTTGACTGTAGTAAATAAAGTGAGGAAGGTACTGCAGGTAAAATATAAATAGTTTGATCTCCATTTTACTAGTACTTGGTCATTACTATATCAGAAAAAGTGCTCCATCATTACAGACCCTCAAAAGAAAAGTTTATCTGTATATAAAATAGGCTTACTGATTAATATGAGTATAGCTTTTAAAAGTTGTAATTTAGAAAAGTTGTGCAATACTGTAGAAAATTAGAAGACTTTATGTGTGTGTTATTATTGAAACTAAAAATTGTTATTTGGAAAAAGGGTATATTAACACTAGATCTTAAGTGTGCAGCAAGACCAAAGCTCTTTTTTTTTTTTCCAAAACTTAACAGTTTCACTTTTAAACCTTGAAATTGAGCTGGAGTTTATTTTTGGGATTAACATACTACCCATTGAACAATAAACAATTTTAACAGCAGTATTTTATTATTATTGTAAACAGTGTTTCCCTGGTATATACTTAGGCTTTGAAAATTAAGATATAGAATATTTGAGTATTAAATCTCAGAATCAGAAAAATCTATTAAGTCATTCATCTGTTATTTAGTATTTTTAATCTGTATTCTCTTTGCAGCAAAGAAGTATTATGGAGTTAATATAGTCTTCTCTTTTCAGAATTTTATATTTAAGTGAAATACTGATTTTGATAAGTGTGTGCAAAACAATCTTAAAAAAACTCTCTTTCAATAAGATGGTTTATTGAATTCCAAAATAGCTGTAGCCCTTTTATTCATACTTATTTTCTGCCCCCGATTTTATCTATCTCTTCCTCTTCCTTTTTTCTTTTTTAATTTTGGGCGGATTGTGCAGAATCTCCCAAAATTAAAAAAATATCTTCTGGTTTGTCTAATGCTGAATAATTAGACATATCTTTTGCATAATTTTAAATTTAACTCTGTTTGAAAGTAAAAAATTCTAAATTGGAAAATTGTTGCCTATTATCTCAAGCAGTGTATTGTAGACTATTGCAGTATTGTACCATATCATTATGTAACTACCTTCTTGACTTACTTGAAGTGTCGAGAAATTAAAAAAGAATTTTCAAAATTGGAAGTACATATCTTGCATTGGGATGCATTTATGCTTCCCTAATGTATTTTGATAAAACCTTATTCTTCCACTTCTGAGATAATTTGCAAATTTGGACATAAGATTAATTTTTTGAAAAAATAAAAATGCATATTTTTAATTTGCAGTCCTTTATTTGTAACGTGGAAGATAGGGAAAGACAGAAGACTACGAGGTTGTATTGGAACCTTTAATTCCATGAACTTACATGCTGGGCTCAGAGAGTATGCTGTAACAAGGTATAATTTCGTCTTTTACAACATGTGAAATGACTTACTAAAATATTTTAATTAAGATAATTTTGTGATTGGTAAGTTTTTTTAAATTTGGGTTTGCTTTTTTATACTTTTTCTCCTCAAGTAAATAAGTTTAGAATTAAGTTTTAGTGTTAAATTTTGTCAAACACATATTCTGACCATTTTTGAATTTGAACAATTCATTTTTGGGCAATGTACTCTGCACAGGTTCACTTTTTCATTCTTACAAATAAAAATTAAGAAGAGCAGAGTAGAACAAACTATAAGAATAATAAAATTTATATTAAATAATGATGTTGCAATTTATTTAATTATTATTATTTTTTGTTTTGTTTTGTTTTAAAATTTGATCAAATAGATCTTTAATTCATATTCCCTAATTACAAAACTGTAGGTAACTGTATGATCATTTTGACTTAATCTTTTATTCATATTGCAAAAATTAACTTTCACAAAGCTAAAATTTTGATTTCTTTTGCTCATCTTTTTTTCCTTTAAATTTTGCTGAACAATTTGACAATTGCTGTGTAATTAAAATTTAATTTTGTATTTAATTAATAAAATTAAATATCTTTTGTAATTTTTAATATTAAGGTTATTTCTGATTTGAGATGAATGTAATGTTTATTTTTTATTTCCCTGTTAGTGCATTTAAAGACAGCAGGTTCAGTCCAATCACCAGGGATGAATTTGGGAAACTTCATGTTTCTGTGTCCATATTAAGGCACTTTGAGGATGGTGAAGATTTCATGGATTGGGAGGTACTTTGTTATGTATAAAAATTATTAGCATAACATATTCATTTAAAAGGTAAACATAGAAAAAATAATTTAAAGTTAATTTTGTGTTCATTTAGTTTTTAATTTAGATTTATCCTTTTCTAAGAATCTGCATGAGTGGTATATTAAAAGAAACACTTTTATTTGTCACCTTGCTTGGACAGTTTTAAATAAAATTTATTGCAGTATTTGTTATGTACAGTGTGTGTATAGTATTATTATGAAATGTGGTACAAAAGATTTGCTTGTTTCATTTTCTGTAGTGTTTAGAGACCTGAGGTATGTAGAACTCATGTAAACATGTGATATAATTTATAATATAATATATAAAAGATAATATAATTATAATATAATTTATAAAAGAAAATTCCCACTCCTAGAATTTTTTTTAAAATTTGAACTGCAGTTGTAAATTTTAAAGGTTTTATTAATTTTAATTGCTGAATGGTTTTGAAAGAATATTTCATTGCAGATTGGAATACATGGTATTCGTATTGAGTTTACTACAGAGAAAGGTTCAAAGAGAACTGCAACTTATCTTCCAGAAGTTGCTCCAGAACAAGGTATTTTAATTATTGCCTAATTGCTGTGTAATGCTGTTGCTCTTTGATACTAAATTTTACTAAATTTAAAATCTTTTTATCTTTTAGAAATAACTTTAATTCTAAAATTGAACTTAAAATTAATGTGCTTAATTTTTTAAGCAGTCTTATGCTTTAAGCCCTTGAGGACCAGCGCGCGGAGAACGAAGCGCAGCCATGCAGCATTTTCAGCAGTGAAGTTTTACAGAAAGAGCAAGTAAGATGCATAAAGCATCCAGAAAACAGATATCTTTACCCTTCTGTAAAAATGTTGTAAAGTTTCTCTTTAATTAACCAAGAAAGTCTATGTTAAGTTTTAAAATAAGTATTAAAAAAATGACAACTAGTCTTGAGTTTTTCCATCACGGAAATTCAGCAACATTACACCTGCTGCCTGCTGTAGTCAGCTAAATGCATTTTTCTAACAGAAAAAAAAAAAGAAAAGAAAAAAGAAAACATTGAGCTGGATGCATTTCCTCACATTCTAATAACTAAAAATGCAAAGAATAAAAAACGAAGACAACAAAAACAACAACACCCCCCCCCAAAAAAAATAAACACGCCCGTATCCCTTTAACCTAAAGAGCTCCGATTCCCAGTTTTTTTACACCAATAAATCTATCAAACCAGAAGCACAGAACAGAAACTGATGCTGATACATAAAGGTCAAAAGCCACATGACTTAACCGATGTGAAATTCGTTACCATTTAACACCATCTACTGGCATTTTAGAATTCAAATAAATCGTTCCATTTTTAAGTTACATATACGTGATGCTGAGCAGTAGAGATTAATCGGAGCTCTTCGCTTATACGTGATGCTGGGCTGGTAAGAGTGGAATTGTTGTGTCACGTATATGCGACGCTGGTTCTGAACGGGTTAAAATCCATTTAAGTTGAAAATTGTTAAATAACATTATATCTTTTATGGAAAAAGGAAAGAAGAAATTCATCTTTCAAAGTGTTGAGATAATGGGTACTTATATAATGCATATTTAATTATTGTTTCCATTTATAGGTTGGGATCGTGTACAAACCATAGACTCTCTTCTCCGTAAAGGTGGCTATAAAGGTACCATAAACAATGATGTGCGTAAATCAATCCGTCTGACACGTTACCAAAGTGAAAAATTAACTGTTAGTTATCCAGAATATAAGGAATATTGGAGGAGTCGACGCTGCTAGCATAACGCACACGCTAACTGGCATTTACATTCAGTTAGCGTGAACCATAATGCCTCTCTAGGTCTACTGCAACATCCTTGCAGAAATTACAGAGTTCAGGGAAATGGGAACTTATAGCCAGTTATGAACTACTGAAATATTTCTAACATTAACCTCTTGCCTCTTAGTAAGTGCAGAAAGAAAATTTGGAATAATCTAAGTATTTTTTGCATATTCATGACAAGACAATTTATTTATTTTTCAACTTTCGAAGCTTAGAAAAATAAGTACTTATTTTGAAGTTTTGTTTCATTTTCTGTAGTGTTTAGAAACCTGAGGTATGTAGTACTCATCTATGTAAACATGTGATATTTCAAATTTGTTTTGATTATATTAATTTTTTTTTGTGTGTGAATAGACAGCTTTAAGTTACGAAAAAATGAACAATATCTCCATCAAACAAAAAGTGGAAATATGTTTACTATTTGAATTAATTCTTATGAATCACTATTTACTATGTTTGAAAACTCTGTCATACAAAGTTAAAACATTTATTGAACTAAAAAAGTGAATAAATTGATGAAGCTGTATTAATAAAGAAACTTAAGCCTGTGTATATTAAAATGTTATCTCACATGAGGGAAATTGAGAAAATTTTTGTTTTAGTTGCTAGCATAACTGAATAAGAGGTCATGAAATTACAGCCAGGCTTGATTAACCATTAAGCAATATAAGCACATGCTTAAAGCATCAAACAGAGAGGGGTACCATGAAAAGCTCCTTAGGTATTCTGGAAAGGGGGCACCAAGAAAATATCCATTTGCCAATTTTACTATGGAATGCATGATGCAGCTAAAATCAAGGGAGTGAAACAATGAGAAATCTGGTATAATCATATTTATAGGCACCATAATCTCTTAGGTGCCTGGGGCCTCTAAAAGTTCTAAGTGGGCTCTTGTTACAGCCCTATATAGGATGCAGTATGTTGTATAGTGCCGTTCGAAACTTTCAGATTTGGACTTCATTCAAAGGACTTCATTTTGTATTCAAGTACTGTAGTCCTGATTTTAATGCAGTACTTAGTATTTTTCATATGATTGGAGAATTAAAACTGTATCATTGTTTTAAACTTTCTTTTTGCTTATTCAGCTGTGTTGGCATCTAAATAATCTGCAATCAAAAGATGTATTTAATATAATTTTAAAATAAAATTTAAAGAAATAAACAATTTCATTGTTTTTTTGCATTATGTGTTAATATATACAGTACAAAGTCTTTAATCCGGAATGATCTATAATCCGGACCTCAAAGCTACAAAAGTTCTGTGCATGTGTAGCATTTACGCATGTGCATAATACGTTTACGCATGCGCGTTTAATGTATAACGGACGGTATAAGCTAGGCTAAAATTATTTAATTATCTATTTCAGTTAATGTTGGAGATTGTGTTGTTCCTTGATCTTCTAATTGGATATGGCTTATTATTTTTTTGCAGACTGTTAGAGCAATTTTATAAAAGTAAGCTTCAACTTTCGATTATGTCAAGAAGAGTTTCTGAAACTTTAATGTAGGATTTCAAAGGATCTACAAAGCGAAAGCATGTTTCGATGTCCATCAAACAAAAAGTGAAATTGCTACAAAAAATGGATAAAGGCAGGAAGAAAGTGACAGAGAGGTTAGTGAAAACGAAAAAATTTCGATTGACAAGTTAGTCGGTATTCTCGGCACAGCAATTACAGGACTTGAACAGCGGAACTTTATAACTGAACAAGAAATTATGTTTGTTTATAGAATTAAAGAGAAAGTATTAGCACATAAAATGAAGCAATTTAAACAACTTACATTGAAAGAAATGTTTAATAAAGTAAACAAATAAATATAATATTTTTTTTTTTTTTTTTGTAAATTTTGATACTCTTTAGATCATAATTGTTCTTATTTCATAAATTACGGTTTCATATTTTTAATTTTATAATTTCTGCATGCCATCTTACCAGATTTAAATTGATGATCTATAATAATCCAGAAAAAATCCTAATCCAGAATCGCCGAAGTCCTGACGAGTCCGGATTAAAGACTTTGTACTGTATATCCTTAAATTAATTATTCTACCCAAGAACAGATTTCACTGCCTTGCTTTTTTGTCAATATACAGAATTTAAAGTCACCAAGAGCGTTATTAAATTGGATATTTTTATTCTCATTATATGAGTATTTAAGGGATTAAACTACTTTTACTGTTCAATAAAGAAATAACACATTACTAATATTAGATATTATACATAAAGTGACCACAGTGTAAATGTTTTTGAAACAGATAGTGTGTTTATGTTCTTTGAATTTAATTCTGTATCCATATTAATTTCAGAAAAATAGTAATCTTTTAAATGCAATATTTGTGAGCATATAAGATGCAGTTTTCCGTACTGAAGTACCCTCTAATAATGTGTCACATACACCATTTGATATCATCTAATAACTGATTTGAGTGTTTTTGAATGACTAATGAAGGATTTCAGTAGAGTGACATAATAAGTGCGTAATGTTTTTCATAGCTTAAATAAGGGTAGATATATATGACAGTTGTATTAAAAATTACTGTCTCATTTTTCCAGTAAAGCAAATTAAAAATGTACTAATATCTTTAAAAAAGTGGATGCATCTTAAATGTTGGCAAATAAGGTAAATGTCTTTTTCTGATTAATGTTTGTTCTGTAACATTTAATTTACTGTATGTTCAGATATTCAGTTTTCAGTTTGAAGTAACTGATGTAAAAAAGAAAAAGGGGGAAAAAATTCATTGCATTTGTGTTAATTTAGAATTGTATTTTGTCATATGCACAGTTTTTGTCTAATGGCAAAAAGCGATTAGATTCATTTTTTCTTTTATGTATTTATTAACTTTCGAGTTTGATGATTTAGATTTCTATCATTTTTTTGCCCGACTGCATTTTGAATTTCATTTTTCGTCTTTTTTTCCTTGAGTTAATATTTTAGCTTTGTTTAGATCATTTATTCTAACCGATCATTTTCATAATATTTTGGCCAAAGTTTGGCTTTCAACTATTTTAGGGAGCCAAAATTTAGTACTTGCTTTAAAATTTTTTTTTTTTTGTATTTACATTTATAGGCTTTTGTTTTTTTTTCAATTTTCATAAATTGAATAACATGCATGTCAATGAGTACTTTAAAACAATTCTTAATATTAGCTGTAACACAGGCTTTTTTTAAAATATTAGAACTATTTCTAAGTAACAGTTAATCTATTGAATAGAGTACTCGTCTCAGGTATTTCAAAAAAACCGTTTTACGTATGTTTTGTAACTTGTTGTGTCTTTCCGTATGTAATTTTTATCTGTTTTTTGTTGTTTAGTGCAATTATTTGTATTTTAATTTATCTTTTCAAAATATATTTATTGCCACACATTAGTAGATAAAGTAACTTTCATATTGTTATATTTAAGTGCCAACACAAATTATTTTATTTCCAAATGATATTATTATCCTATTAGGTTTTTTTCATTTTTATTTTTTTTTTCCAGGTAAATTACAAAAAAATTGTATCCTTTTGACCTTAACACTTTTTTTTTTTTTTTTTTTTTTTTTTACCTCGTTATTACATGTGTTTCTTTTCAATTGTTGAGTGAGTGAAATAGTATCATAAATTATTTTTTTCGCAGATATACCGTATGTGATCTTATTAATTTAACTGAAAGTTTGTTGCCATTATTTTGTTAACAGTTATCGATTTATTAATTTACTGTAGTTTTTCTCCATATTAAAAAATACTTATATCTTCCTCCAAACAAACATACTTTTTTCTTTGCCATATAATACTTTGATCTTGAATATTTTTATTATGCTTTGTAATTAATTTTTGTTTAATTTATAAATTTTTTAAATTATTTTTTACTTTGAAAATGTTAAAATTCTCTTTTTATTTCTTTTTAATGTGAAATATTGAAAAGTATAAAATGAAAAACCAAGCAATATGAATGGTAAGACAAATTAAGAATTAATAATTGTCTATTACAATACTGATGAAGATATGTGAAAAACAAGTTATAAAGGCCTTATACTAATGTTAAAATTTGCATTGGTAGTGTAGGAACACTGGGTGAAATATGTGAATAATTTTGCATATTTTTTTTAGTGTAAAGTCAATCGTTTAATGTTGGAGGATTGGTAATTTTGTTATTAATTTGTTAAATATACCATTGATGAGTGTAATTAATATGTTTTTAAGACTTCAGTGATTCAGTCAATCTGTTTCTCAGAACACTTGAAATTAAATAATTTTTCCATATATGTTGATATAAATATACTAATTTGCTGAGAATAGTTAAATGAAATTTTAAAAGTAAGTGAAACATGGAACTGTATAGAAAATTATTTGAATATGTTGCAAAAACATTGCAAAAATTCTAAAAAAAATTAAATGAAAATCCTGTTTGTTAAGTAATCTGAGATAATCAGGCCGAACAATTTTTTTCAATGAAGAACATGTGCTCTTAGATTTGTCTAAATATTTATCAGTTTTTGGAAAACTTGGATACTATTTGAAAGAAAAAAAATTACATGTGCCAGGAACAATGTTAGAAATGTATAGCTGTGTGCATTAGCCTGTTAATCTAAAAAGTTGTCAACATGTCTGGCTATCACTTTTATTTTAATATTCAACATATTTCTAATGAAGGTATTTGATTGTCATTTTTGCTTTTACAGTCCTCTACCATATTTTTAATTATAAGAATTTTTTTAGAGTTCTTGATTAAAATAAACAGTTAGTGTTTCTTATATTTGAATGTGCGTTTTTGAGGGATTATTCAGTTGCCTATTATCCGAAAATAAAATTGTAAATCACTTTCATATTTTGTAAAGATTAAGTGAAATATTTTAAACTATTTCTCTGAGAAGTTACAAAATGTGCCAAATAGCACTTCATTTTTATTTTCGTACAGATGTCTATTCTTATGCATTTAACAGTTTAAAATGTTAATCAGTTGATTGTTAAGAATAAAGCACATAATAGATCTACTTAAAGTGAGAAAATACTTTTGACTTTTCTTTATCCCCCCCCCATTTGTATAATGTATGATATCAATTAAATTCCATTGCAAAGCATTTCTTAAAAATGCCTTCACAAATCATATAAAGTTTTTTAGTGTAGAAGCAGACGATAGAGTGAAACTCTTGAACTGTGCCACTATAACTTAATGTATTTGCTGGTTTTGCAGAGACTATTATTTCTTGTAAGAATTCTTACTTTTAAAATGAAACTATCAAACATTATCAGTATGAATAACCTCATTAAATTTGAAAATCAGCTTTAAACAAGTCAAAGGAATACTGATAAGAACACATACATTGTCTAGTCTTTGTAGTCTCTTTTTATTTATTACAAAATTTAATTCCAAAAAATCATTAAAACAAGTGGATTTAATTTTCTACATTATACATTCTGAAGTGCATGCTCTCTGCTTATATTTAATGAAATTAATATATTCGCTGCCAGGGTAGGAATATGAAAATTCACTACAAGGCGACTAATGAGAAAACAAATAATTACATAAATGTACGTTTTACCATATATTGGCACGTGATTGGCTATTAGGTGATAGCACCTCCTCACATGCCTGTACATGATTGGAAGCAAAAGTGATAATCATATAGCTCTTACATATTATATAGTGAGTTGGTAATCATAAATTTTAACAGTATATATGTAAGATATGAAAACATAAAATAAAATTCTAACTTTAGTGTGTGATAGCTCATTAATCTTGTGCTTAATTTGGTTATTTTTCCTTTTTATTCTGAAAATAATAACATGCTTATAATAAATCTGTTTGAACGTTTCATTTCAAAATTAATTGTCATGTGATTTTTATGCAATATATGTACTTACTGTGCACACTTGTACTTACATGAACAAACAATCTTTCAGTCGGTAATAGTATTAAAATTAGCAAACCTAAACCAATATAAATAATTTAAAAAATCCACTTTTAATGTAATTTTCTTACTGAAATCTGTGTATTTGTTTTCCACTTCTCTCTCCTTTTAACATGTGGCCCTGATGCTGCCATTTGTCTTTCTTTGGATACAATTTTATAATGTCTCTATTTAATTTATTTTGACAAAACTCTAATGCATTTGTAGTTCCGTGCTTTTTGTTATGACAATTTGATACACCTTTTTCTATGATATATCCCAATTACTCATCCACCATACAATTATTTACTTAGTTTGAGAGGAATTTTCCATGATATTTATCCATTTGTTATTGA